GGGGAGGTATTAAACCCCCAAACAGTTTAACACACTCCTCCTATACTGATTCTCCACTATAAACCATCAGGCTGCAATGCAGATGATAAAGCTCCATCTGACAACAAAATCCTGACTTCACACTACCAGTCACATCGATCAACATCTGAACTAATGTCAGAGTCTTCTCTTGCTAATGAGCTGCTGCACTGAGATGCAGCTTTGCTATCAGTCAGATACCTGTAATGAGGTAGAATGAATGGCAAGACCCCTCTTCAGACGCTTTCTCTCATCTAGCCACAGAGGGCTTCGTTGTTCACTTATTTTTGGTACAGACAAAGAGTTTCTTCCTGAAGGTCTCTACCAGCATCACACAGTTACTCTAGCAACTATTTTATATGTTAGCTGCAGCTGTTTGGAAAATTTCTACCAGGAATTAATTTATTTTTTTTTCCCTTCTAATCATTTGCAATCCCAGTGCTTCCATTTAAGGGCTGTAGTCCCAGTGCTTGCATATAATGACATTTTAATGTACACTTCAAATCCAAATGAAAGTACCTTGCCATGTTCCCAAGTTGGACATGTTCATGTAGCACTCTGCTTCCCTTACGTTATCTGTCTACAATGCACATTTGTCCAGCTGCTTATGCTTTGATTTTAAGCCACAGCCACCATGCAGTGGTGTATCCTATTTACCCATCCCTTAATATCACAGGAGGGATGTGCTCCAAATCCATAGCTTTCCATCAATATAACAAAGCCACAGTAACGATTTCTTTATTTTTCTTTGTCTGTCATGCTACTGCTGGATTGTCTGAACTGAAGTTACTGTCAGACCCAGAGGTTCTGCCCAAATCTGATCTACAGCAGTTTGCTAAGAAGGCAATTTACAGCTGCAGTGATTGAAGAAGCACCCTAAAACTGTAATAGAGGAAAACTCAGTGAACAGTAAGGAAAGCTCCAGCATTTGTTACAATAACTCTCTTTAGGTACTAAATTAAGAGCGGGGTGGTTTTCTATACTGGGTTGAAGTCTTCAGCACAGACAAGTTAGCTATTATTTGTTACTCCTATGAAGCAGTCATTACAGAAAGGCTGGGTTTGGGTTTGTGCTGCAAACTAAGGTTGTGACTTGTATCTTTCTCATCTTCCGAAATATTTCAGTTAGGTTTTGTTTTCCTTTGTCTTAAACCAACATCTTACGTCTCTCAGTGGCAGCTCTCAGCATGCAATTATTTATGCACGTCTCATTCCATGCCACATAAAAAGGGCTATCAAGTTTGTATCTTTAAGACTAATGAGCTGTTGGTTAACACTTTTGAGGCAATTAACCAGAGGTATCATCTTATCCACTGACAGAGACGTTGTTGCATTCAAAGTTCTCCATGGGGCAAGACACAGGTCTGGAGTTCAGCCCCTGCTTGTTTGTCCTGACAGACAAGGCTGCAGGTGACGGGCAAGGGGAAGCCGTGGGTGACCCCTGCACCGGAGCCCTGCTATGATGGTTTATGGGGTCTCTGACATCAGCTGATGACATTTTGGGGTAGGTAGGGTAGTGGCACTCAGAAGTGTTTGCATTTGCTCTGCCACACATGCAGCCCCTCTCAGACCAGTTACCAGAGCATGGCATCTTTTCATACAGCCAAGCACCTCTGCTGCTGCCTGCAAGGGTCCCAGCCAGGACTTCCCAGTGCCCTGTCAGTGTCCGGATGCTGCATCATTCCCTCAGGGCCAGCAGCATCTGGCTCAGGCTAAAGCCACCCTTCAGGCTACTCTGACTTCTGCCAAGGGAACAATAAAGCACCCAAGATTAGGGCTGAGCAAATCATCTTCAACAATGGTTTTAACCATTACCTTCAACTAAAGATACCCAGGAAAATCTGGTGAGGGTGTGGTGAGGTCTCCCAGAGTGTGTCTACTGTGAAGATGCAGAGGCTTATATTTTCATTAAAGGGAGGGTCTCGTTTTTCTTTTCAAATACGTCTTTGTCATAAGACCATTTTTTGTCACAGAAACCTTGCAGAAACGTTGTGGACCCACTTGGCTGTGGGAGGAAAGTATCCTGGCTCCCAGGAACAGCGGTGCCGCTCCAGCCAGTCCGGCACACTCGTCCACTGGACACCAGCAGCAGCTGCTGCAGAGGAGCAGCGCTTGGAGCAGGAGGGAGCTGCTTCCTCGCTGGGCCACAGGGGCTGCCTGCACTCCTTCCCTGCTGGAAATGTCAGGGCCCAGCGCTGGCGGCTGGCAGCAGAACAGAACATGTCTGCAACGAGACACAGCCACCACAGCACGGCTTCACCTCGGGTACAAGTCGAAGGAGCTCTAGTCTGCAGCCTGGACTGAGCATCCCACCAAGAGACAGGACAAGTGTAAGCCCTTAGCAGCAAACACAGCCTTGCTGCACATGGCAGGCACTCCCCTAAGGAGACACAAAGCCATGGTTCATCAGCTTTGATGCACATCCTGCTCACAGGTAGAAGTTTGCATAATCCTGGGCTGCACCAGAGAGAGGGATTCTGCTACCTGGACTGTGGCTGCCATTCCCTAATGGTACAGAAAAGCACTGCTGGGAAAGTGTGCCACTTCTAAAGATATTGTAAATAAAATAAATCCGTGAGGCTAGAGGGAGGTGATGTTCCACCTGAGATTCATATGCAAACTCTGAAATATTAAAAGCACCCTGGTGAAGGCATTGCTAATTAAAAGGATAAAATGTGCACGCATAGAGAACAGATTATTTAAAATATAAATTATTTCTTATTAAGGTAATAGTGTCTAACTAAATGTTGAAAGAGCTGGATAGTAGTTTACACTGTAAAATGATCTGTTAAATATGTTCCTGTTAACATCAATACAGCTATTGACAAACAGATCCAATTTTGCTTTACTTTGAGAGAGCAGACAATAGCAAGTTTTACTAGTGCTATCTTATTTTACAAGCATTAATGAACAATTAACCAACACTAGCACTCTTTCCATCTGTAATCCTGTAGTAGGATCACTAATCTCCACCACTAGCAGCTAATGATGAAGGTCTCTTAAGCTTTACTTCTTATCTCAGCCAGTTCTTAATACTCACATAAGTATGCTTTCTGAGCAGGGCGGCCCCCTATTGCTCTGCGACTTGAATACAAAAGACTGGTGAAATTTTTGAAGGGTTTTCTGTTCAATAACACTTCTATACTTATGTTTGCCTTCCTACAACAACAAACACAAGTGATCAGCAGAGGACTAGCAAGGTCACTAAGGGCTCTGTGTTTCCATACTTGTTCTAATACTTATAAGAATGTATTCATGCCCTATTATATATATTCCCTGGCTGCTCAGGCAGAAGCTCTAAACTAAACTAAACTGAAATGAAATAAAAGGGAAAAACCAGAAGACTAAAACAGTGTTTACTTCAAGAACAAGTCTGCTGTTTGTATCGAACAAAAGGAAGCTGGAAAGTGGCTGCCATTAAAAATACATGCAAGATAAACTGAAATTTTTATAGTACACAGTACACATGACATTTTCTAACTTCTCTTTCAGAGTGTTCTTGTGTATACCATACACACGAGATCTGTGTACTGGGATGGCAGGGGAATTCACCATTCTGTTAGGCTTTTCTGGAATAACTAAGCCAAGTAAAGCAGCAACAACCTCCCAGACAGGAAATGGAGATCACAGTGGGTTCTGTTCCAATCCCCATCAGAAGGCACTCCACAGCCAGGGCAGCCACCTCAATAGTAAAATTTGTGCAATTGAAAATGAGATACACAGTCCATCTTTTGCTTTCAAGAAAGAGGCATGAGCCTAAGTAAGAGTAATCAATTTTCTCTAGTCCATTTCATTTATTCCATGCACAGTACTTGAACGTGTTGGCCCCAACCCAGGCAGAACTCGGTGCAACTCAGGGTTGTTTCCTGGCCTAAATGAAAGCCTTGACAGAACTTCTCCAAATGGGCCCAAAACATCCACTGCAGATGCTGAGATTGTTGCAGATGGGGAACAGCAGTTGAGTAGCAAAAGACAGGCTCCCATCAGGGAGGTGATCCAGTCCCGTTAAAAGCTCACCCTGACCCTGCTGGCATTAAGTTCTGTGGCTGATGAATGAGAATCAAGCTGCCTCATCGTGCTTGGAGCTGGAAGTACATTATCAAAGTGCAACAGATTAACAGGATCTGAGAACAAACATATCTCCAAGCCATTCCCAGAGATGTTTTAGCAAAAACTAACAGCATGAGGTATTGCTGAAGAAATGTGCTTTATAAGCAGCTAAAAATTGAAAATTAATATTTCTAATGCAATCAAAAGCTGTCTTTTTGCATGCTCTGTTCCAATGTGTATTCTACTCCAAGGCATAAAAGAAGCTGAACTCACCTGGCACCCATGGCTGAGAGATATCTTGGGAAAAACTCCTACTGAGTGTCACAAATACTAACTGCCCCCTATGCAGATTCAGCCTGGCTTTTTGTTGTGTTTGTACAATGCATATCAAAATGTTGACCTTTTCCTTCACCAGGGCTTCTCAGCACATACAATAAATAGCATTACTTAGAGGAAAAAAATAACGAGTTCTGTACTCTGCAGGAATCATGACTAAGCATTGTTTTTACCACATGGATTCTTTTTCTGTGACTGTCCATCATGGCCCAAGTGGCTGTGGCACTCAGCAGACATTTAGAAGGAGAGGAGTGCTTGCTTGTGCCAGCCCAGCTACCTTCAGGTGGGTAGCTCTCTGGCTGGGACACAGGGGCAAGGCTGGCCAGCCTTACCTGAAAAGTAAGGTGCTAAAGTAGCCTGAGTGCATGTGGTAGGTGCGGGGATGAAGGGAAGAGAGGTTCTGGGACTACCTGAAGTCTTTATTTATTCAAGTAAAATTTGTATTTAAGTCCAGACGAATTTTGTTAAAGTGAAGCCAACCAAGTTGTCAGAAGCAGACCTTATCAGGAGGCCTGAGCAAGATGTGAGTGAAATGATTGCTTATGGACAAATCACCAACCATTAGTGAGGAAAGAAAAAAGATTTTATTATGTTTCACCCAGCTTTTCCATTTTTAAGCCTTTGCTGTTTGGCTTCATATCTGATGTATGGAGATTTCCTTGATGTGACAGTCACCCACAGTGTGGGTGGATAGCTCGTTCCCCCTCTCCTCAGCAGGCTTCAAATCTCAGCAATGACTCCAGGTGATGATGGCAGGATCAGAAAATGAGGAAAAGCTAATGGATGGAGCTAATTTCAGCTTGACAGAGTCTAGCTACTGCCATTACACAGGATACAGTTTAGTGGATTTATTTGGATCACCTGTATATTTGACTGTGAAACTCACCTGTTACCCTGACTGCATTGCAATATTGGAGCCATCTTCAAACAAGTTCAGTTGTGCTGGTTCTAGAGAGAAGCAATTTAAGTCTATTAACCTGCATTTCTGTACTAAAAGTGCAAATTATTGTGGGCAGAGGTCTGGAGCAACACAGTTAAACCCATTCTGACACTTGACATAGAACCTAGGTACAGCTTTCCTGCATTGCACAACATACTGTCAGCATATCAGGGGAGATGTTTGGTGCAGAGGAAGAAGTTCAGCTCTGGAACATCTCTTTTTCACAAATTCCCTTTCGTAAATACCTGTCAGGAATCTGGGGGTACTTTCCTGGAAAAGTCACGCCAATGTCAACAGCTTGCAAGATCATCTGTTAAGAGAAGGATTAACAAGAAAACAAAAATCTGATGCTATGAAGAATATTCTGGAGAGTGGATAGAGGGTGGCCTATTTGTCATTACACTGCACCTCCTGCTCATTTGCACAGATGTCTACCCCAGGGCTGTTGGGAGCGGCTGGAACAGAGGTACAGTGATGGGCTGTTGCAGTAGCTGAGGATAACCACAACCTGGTCAAATGGATCCTTGGATCAAGCATAACAAATAGTAACTATTTTCTTTCAACTGCTCTCAAAATGCTCATTTACTCCCATTTAATTTTTGTGTTTTCCCACAGGGATGGCATTTTTACTCATACCTGCTGTACAAAGAAAATGTCAGTGTTTAGTACATTGTTTTCATTTTTATGATATGATAGAGGTGAAGGTAGAAGCTAATTAACAATACTGTTTCCAAGATAGCAAAAGAGCTTGTCTGTGGTATTAGTGCTTTGTATTAACCAGGATGAAGCCAAAACCTTGGATCAACATTTCCACTTTATAGATAATATCAGAGATACTTCTCCACCCCCACCAGCTCACATATTCATTACCCAAATTGCCTATCCTCAAAGTGATAATATAGTGTGGTACAACATGCCCCGACAGGACACAAATTGACTCTGTGCCTAGATACTATACAGACAGTGTAAAGCAAATATCTCACTCTATTATCTGTTGTCTCTATGAATCAACAGATTACATGGTTCACTGGGTAGCTGAATAACTTTTACACAGTTTGCTCATATCTATTTACACATATTCTACAAAAAATACATTAACACCAAAGGACAAATGTAAAAAAAAATCTACCTGCAGAATCCAGATAAATTACACATGTGAAAAAACACAATAAACAGTAGTGCTTAAACTTCATATACAATATCTGTAGATACTAAAGGAGACTCTTCTCTCATGGCCGAATCCTGAATTCTGTGGAAGGCCTTTAATTTGGAAGGAAAGGAAACTTTAATTTGTGACAATGATTGTAGGCAATATTATGCACCACATTTTAAAGAATCCTTAGTGTTCCCCAGAGTAGGGTTGTAGCCACAGAGGGTTCTTCACTGATGATCTCCATGCAGGTGTACCTCCACCCACCTCTAAGCTGTGACCTTTCAGAGCTCCATGCCTCTTGTGTTCACTGCTGTTTCTGGTCACTGATTTGTAAAACAAGCCATTTTTTGGAAGAGGAAGCAGTATGCCATGTCCTCCCTTTTCATACCTCCTGATGCAATATTGTGAGCAAAGCAGCCTGTCCATGTCACTGTAGAAAGGAACAGAGCTTTAGCAGCCAGGATTCAGACATGGTTCCCGAACTGCATGTGGACACCAGGCTGTCTGGATCACTTGTCCTGGTTTGTCAGCTCCTCCTAATGCCACACTCAAGAAACAAAAGTGAAGATGGAGCAGGGGAAAGTACAAAATGTCTGTGCCTTGCAGTGCTGCACCTTACAAACCCCAGAATGTTCAAATTTCCTGCCATACATAAATACCTTTATGTATGTATGTATGTATACACACCCACACTCTCCAAATTACATAAAAGCTACTCCTTCTTTCTGCTTCTCTCATGCCCACTGCCAGCTCTTCCCTCTCAGACATCTTTTAAACCTATTCCCTGGTTAGGTCAGAACTCCACTTTTACCCTGTCTCACTCTCCAGAGTAATTCTTCCAGGCAGTCACTGGTTTGTCCTCAGACAGTGGCACCAGAAGCTACTGCATTAGTTCCTGCCCCATTGCTTGTCTCCTGTGTCCCTGATACACCTTTTACCAGCAGTGGAAGCAGCTCTCTTCAGTATAGATACAGGCAGTGAGGACTTTGGCCCACTTAAACATCAATTGTTTCTTTCCTTTTTCAAAATCTTAGTTTGCCTAGACTCTCTGGGCCAATTATTTCAAATTTAATAATACCATGAAGCAAAATAGTTTAACAGTGTATTGTACCATGTGGAAACTAAGTGGTAGTATCACTAGCGTGCAGCTATTCATCCAATTATGGTCAACAGAATGGCAACAGTAATTTATTTTAAGATTAAATCTAAAAAAGGGATACATTTAACTAAATTTAGTAGCATGCAGTACCTGTTTGCAGGTATGAAATAAACCGTTTTGAAAGAAAGACTTTTCACTGATAATTAAGTGACAAATGAACAGTCAAAACCTGCTGTACATTGGATTTTTAAAAGAGCTCATAGATAAGGGCATTTTTGGTGCTCTGAATTGATTAATATGATTTAAATTTTTAAAAAAAGATTTGTTAAAATTGGTAGACTTTCCTTTGTAAACTATGTCTGCTATTTTGTGCAACAAATTCTACATGTTTTTGGTAATGGAAGATGCTGTTGCAACAGCCTTTTGTGCATCCTGATTGAAAATTCAGCTACATAACCTTCACTGAACTGTTTATCTTATGTACTTATTTAACTAACATTCAAACTGACAAGTCTCCTATTTCTGGGCTTTCTTTTTATACTTTAATGTATGCCTTATCAGATGAAACTCAGTACCAAACTTTGCATGTTTTTGATTTTGCACATAAACTGAAGGGCAGAATTCCAGTCTATGTCCTCAGTCATTCAATCTTTCAAGATCTTTGAACAAGACTTCAAACCCTGAAAAAATACAACCCAAACACAGACTTGCTTCTCTGTCTGTACAAATACGTGAAAGAAACTGGTATGTCAAGTTTCAATGTAGGCAAGCCTAATTGAAGCTTTAACTACATTCGAAACAAGAGGCAGGCAGCACCTCCAAACTGCTTTATTCAAGGGCAGGAAGACATTCAGGAATAGAGCTACTCGAATTATTCATTACTAATAAATTATCCAATTAATTTAGTCAATTTTTCTTATCATTAATAATTCAAAAACTGCTCCTGATAGTGGTGGATGTGTGCATCAGCCCTGATCCTGACAACACTTAGACACACATTTAGCTTTTCATATTCCCCATAATCCCATTGGACTCCATCAGTTTTCTCTGTGAGCTGCAGGTGAGCCTGTGGAGAGCTGGTGAACAGCTTGCTTCTCCAGTTAGTTTTTTAAGGAATAATCATTTGCTTGAGTCATGCAATATTGTGTCTGCTCCTAATGAATGACAGCTCTCCAAGTGAAAACTGAAAGCCGAGTAGCAAAAGATTAATGTTCTTGTTAATGTCCTCCTATTTTTTTCACACAAAGAGGTTTTATGTGAATAAAGCAGCACTTTCACAAACATTTGTGTGAACGAACCGAAATACTGATGTGAATATTCATAACAGTGAATAAAGCAGGATATACCCTATATGAATACAGATCATGGGAATGAAGGGTTCTGTGTTTGGCTATAGTACCTTATGAAGAATAACGTTCCAAAGATAAGTGGTAGTACAAATGCCATGCATTGGAAAGCACCGTGAATTGCATTTTTAAAGGGGTTAGTCATTAAAGGAAGCTGTTGTTTAATTTAGCTTCCTGACCTATGTGTATGTTTTAAATTTTGCCATCCAAAATATACAACATGTCCTTGTGCTAGCTCTGCACAGAAGCTCTTGCACTTCCAAGGAACTTTAACAGAAACAAAATCTCACCTGGCTTCTTCTGTAGTGATGAAGAAAGCTGCAAGATATTTGCTGTCATGCTTTTGTTCTCTTCATAATTTGTGACTCCTGTTGCCATGCACTTGTGGGAAGCTTAAATGGTTATCACTGCTAGTGCTTGAAGGATATCTTATTATGAAGTGCTTCTAAAAGAAGAAAATAACTATTAGCAAATTTGTAATGAGCTTCCTCATGTGCTGGTTCCTGCTTATCTCTAGGTTAGGTTTTTTTGTACCTCAGTTAACACTCTTTCAAATACAGAATCATAGAATTTTTTAGGCTTGAAAAGACCTTTAAGATCTTTGAGTCCAACCATTAACCCAACACTGCTAAGTCCACCACTAAACCATGTCCTTAAGTTCCACACCTACATATTTTTTAAATTCCTCCCGTGACAGTGCCTCAACTGTTTCTCTGTTTGTTCCATTGCTTGACAATAAATCAAATATTGGAGCGAGTCCCCTGTAAATAAGATGTAATTAAATGTAACAATTCTCATTGATGTTTTGAGCAATTATGCAAATCCAGAGCTGTGCTGACAGCTAGGTATAGTGCTGTTCCAGGTATAAACTTTCCATTCTCTGCTGTCCACCAACTGCTGTCTCACTCAAATCAGCATGAATCACAGATCACTTGGGTTCTTCTTCAGGGGGACCCAGACAAACATAACATGATCCCAGAGCCTGACATAACAAGACATGATAGCTAAAACACAAAGAGAAGCAGGCTTATTTTAGTACCTGATATCTGACAACAAGTTGGATATTGTGAGTATTTGATTCAATTTTGTGTGTCAGATGGCAGTGGAGCAGACAATAAGGTGTCCACAGTATTTATGAACAGGCAAACACCACAGTTCACTGACGAGGCAAAATAATTTTAGGTAGCAATGAACTTGTCTGCTTGCATTAGGTTGGGGCAGATTTCTAGGCTGGATAGAAAAGCCGCAATTTATTTTTTTCTTTAACAAAATGCTGATAGCCCTTCTCACTGCTAGCACAGAACTTAGGGTAACTCTGACCACTAGGACCTTTTGTCACCCTCTCACTGAACAGTTCATTTAACAGTCTCATTTGCACTCAGCAAAATGCCAGGCTAGTTTTCAATCGTATTGATGCAGTGTCCATGTATCATAGGGAAAAAAACACTGCTTCAAAGGTCTCAAGGAGGAATGAACTACTGGAGTTTTAAATCACCTGTCTCTGGGCAGTGCTGCAGGGCAGTGCTGCACAAATGGAGCTGATGCTCCATTGCAGGTATGCTCAGTTACCAGTTTCTCTAGTCTTTCAAACAAAGCATGTGTCCTTCAGCCATTGCTCCACTGACCATCAGTTAGGAAGAAAATTAAAACAATTTCTATTGAGTTATTAGGGAAAGTCTTCCCACTAGAATTTCCTTGTGCCTGCAGAAGGAGCTACCACAGCCTGTGCTGTAGCTGTCACACTGCCCATAGTTCACTGTTACAGTGCATGCAGCCGTGGGCAGACATGGATGCTCCCTTCAGTTTCACAGAGGTAAGTATTTCTAGGAGGGCCAAAGGCAATAGAGCTTTACACCTGAAGACCTGGGACAAGTACGGTACTCTAACCAATTCAGTGCTGTTACATCAATGCAAAATCCAAATACGAATGAGCAACACATTATTGCTTGACTGAGAGCAACAGGTCTATAGGTACACTGAAATTACTGGTTCAGGAGTTAGATATGACTACTTTTCTGGTGCAAAAACTCTTAACATTCACATTATTGTAGGGAATGAAGAATTTGGGAAACTGAATGTCACTGTCAACTGGACACCTACTAATATGGTGACAAAAATGCATGCCACCCAAAGCCTTCGGGTTGGAGCCACAGCCTGGAAAAGGCTGAAAACCACCATGTCTGTCTCAGCCTCCCTTCAGCCCTCGTGTGGAAGGAGCTGCATTGCTTGTTGGTTTGCAAAGATGAGCAGTGATGCTTTCCTAGTTCAGTGAGGAAAATTTGGCCCCAGGTAGGCAAAGGTGCCTTGCCCTGCATCATCCCAGGCTGCCCTGGCATGCTAGGCAGTGGAAAGACACTGTCCCTCTGCTCTGTTCAAGAGAAGCAGCCATGGGGAGCTCCTGGTGCCATGAACCACTGCAGCTGCTCCTAGCAGGGCAGAGGTGCCCATCAATGCCCTGAAATCCACTCCTGCTGCATCACTGGTGTCTCTGCTAGGCAGCTCTTTGATAGGCAGCCTGCCTTCTGCTAGAATGATATTTCAATCAGACAGAGGTTTTCCTTGGGGGGAATGGGGAGGGGGAGGAAAGGAAGGGGAAAAAAATTCAACTATTCCCTTTCAGAAAGTTTCACAGTGATCCTGTGCATTATTATTTGAATCTCACCATATTCAGAAACATATTTCTCTCCAGAATTGCCAGCTGGAGCCAAATTCTCTGCCTTGACTGCACTCAGAAATTTTCATCCTAATCCCAAACTATTCATCCCAACACTTCTGATGCCATCAATAGATTTAAGATGTTTTTAATGCCTTCCTTGAACTTGCCTTGTCTCCTGTCAGCCAGCCAGAAGTGGTTTTTATCAGGAATAAGATTCAAAGAGCCTGCCCTGCAGCAATCCCATCGTGCACTTCTTTGTCAGAATCCTAATGACGATTTATATATACTTAAGAGACTATCTCCAGCTGTAAAACTGAAAAGCTTCTGGGGGTCTGTACAGTTCCCTGACCTCAGACCTATTTTTATATTTTGATCTTGGGGATAGTGCCTCCCAACACTCCGAATCCTCCAGTTATCCCCGCGGTAACAAAGTGCTAGCTTAACCAGCAGTAGCAAGACTTAAAACAGGGCACTCAGGATCAAAGTGGCTAACAAACTTGAGTATTAGCCACTGTGTCAGCCCTAGAGACAGCCACGTTAAACCAAAACATGTATATGGCTAAGTCTCCACGCTAAAACTAAACATTGTGCTCCAGAGGACGTGCATCTAAAGAGCCATTTTCTCTGAGGTAGGTACGAAAGCATGCTCAATTTAACATGCTAAACAGGCATCCGCCACAGACACTCTCCTCCCAAGCAGAGAGGAATTATACTGTTCTGTTGCTTGTAGGCTTCATGGAGCTATTTTTAGGATTTTTCCAGCATTATTTGCTTTTACTTTTCATCCCAAACATTTATAAAAAGTGATTTTACATTTTTGATTCAGAAGAAACGAGAAAATATGAAAAAGTGCAAGAGCACTGATGAGTCTGGATTAAGACAAAAACATAGTCAGTATAAGGTTCTGTCAATGAACCGACACTTCATTTTCCTTCCATTGTCTGATTACCAGAAGAGCAGTACACTAGCAACAAGGATGATCACATGAAGGCGGGAAAACACAACTGTCAGGCTTCAAGGACAAAGCCTATTCTTACATTGCCATTCCTTAAATCCAGACATTAGAGCAAAAGGAATGAGAAAAAAGCAGCTCACTCATGGATAGCTTACTGAGGATACTGCAAAAGATTATGCTAATCTTCACTTCATTGTCCTCTGCAAAATGTTTTCATACCATGCCTTTTATCTTTGGAAGGGATGCACAACCTCTCAACTCTGTGACAGCGAGCACTTTCTGTGTGGTTTCTGCGTAATTAACACCAGCACTAGACCTTTTCATTTTTGCTACTCAAGCTTATGGCCTTTTAAGGGTACCCACAGGGGAGCATCCCTCACCCCTTTGCTTGAGGCCTAAGTGATAGTCTCAGCTTATCCTTAGCTACATATACCATCTGTTAATAGCAGAAGGATCAAAAACTTTTGGCTAGCCTGCATTTTTCAAAGAATGGGGGCAGGCAGCATAAACAACACATTAGACAAGATTTCTAAGAGTTTTAATTCTGAGTTGGGGCCTAAAGACTTTCAGTTTTATTTAAACTGCCTTGCATTATTGTCTAGATTATGTTCACATACACATCTTAGGAGGTGGCTGAAATTAGATAAAAGTCTGCTTTTAAGATGAAATTCATTCTAATATAGTCCAATTTTGTTGAAGAAGCGTGACATGTCGGATTTTTGGTCGGTCTGAACACAATAAACACTGAAGCTGCAATTTTTCCCCTCAGGAATTATCCCACTTTTGACAGTAAAATCAGGTGCTTGAGAGTGTATTTGATACACACTCCAGTGACAGTGGGAATCGTACCCCAGTAGTGACACAGGAATTGCCCTTGAAGCACGGACCCAATCTGACTCTCTCAATCAGACACTTTTCTTCCTTACTTGCAGAAACTGTGGAATACTTAAAAAGTAAAAACACCCATTTATTGTGGTGTTTCACCATTAATACTTACTTTCACCAGTTTTCCCTCAGGCACATTTTATCTAATTAAGAGTGGGGTTTTCAAGGTTGGTTTTTTTTTTCTCAGATAATTTTTTTTCCTTGGTCCGTTTTCTCACCCGACCTTGTCATGCTGGACCCCTGGCCTCCGGGTACAGACACCCCATTTCTTTTGGAGGCAGAAAGAGCAAGATGTTTGCACATGTTTGCAAGGCTCCCCACCCATTTTCCCCTGCCTGGGAGCCTACATAGTGGCACAGCAGCTACACCTAGGAGCAGGGCAATGACTCGCAGAGGCTTTGGCCCACCCCTGCAATTCCCAGACCCGCTGAGGCTCCATTAACTCATCTTCGTCTCCTGCCACTTTTTATTTTGTAGGAAGTGATCCAATGAACAACAAACAACAGTGATATTTTGGTGGCATGATATTACAGTTGAAGCTGCCTTGGAAGTGGACTAAGCTGTAGAGAGTGAGTAGACTTCTGCCTTGCCTTGCTGGGCATCACTACTGGGTAGATGGAGCTAATCTCCTCTATGTATGTCCAGAAGCACCAGATGTGGTTATGTGGTAGGGGTGGGCTAAAAGCACAGCTTTTCTTCCCATTTCCAAGTGCACTGACATATTCTCCACTCCCTGAGAAAGACAAATGTGCCTTGAGATAGTTTGGCAACATGACAGATGGTAACTACCACTGTGGCTTATTATAGTGCTGCCAATGTCTCAGATGTGCATTAAACTCATACACTGACAGGAAGTCTCAAGGAAATGTTCTACATTTTTCTGCACAGGCATAATCCCTTTTCAAACAAAACAAAAAAAAAACCCAAACAAATAAACAAACAAAAAAAC